AGTCATGTTGGAGGAACTGTGTCACTGTGGGGATGGGCTCCGAGGTCTCAGCAGGCTTCCTTCCTGCCTGTCGATCAGGATATGGAACTCTCAGCTCCTGCATCAGCACCGATGTCTGCCAGGAATGTTTCCCACCATGATGATAATGGACTAAACCTTTGACACTGTAAGCCAGCCCCAATTCAATGTTTTCCTTATAAGAGTTGCCATGGTCATGGTGTCGCTTCACAGTAAAAGAAACCCTCACTAAGACACCGCCAGAAAGAGGCGAGTAGGAAAATCAGGCATAGCTCGAGCACAGTGATCAAGATGTACTCTGCGTGCTGAAGTTTAGTTAACCCAACATATACAAATTCATTTATGCAACATTTCTGGAAGTCCGTCCACTTTGGGGCTTTGCCAGTCGTACCAAGGATTTGCCACTCCTCCTTTTCTCTGTCATGTCCTACCAAGCTTCTTAAATTGTGATTTGTGACCACATTTTGGGGTTGCCTAAGTAAATATAGGTGTCAAGGAAAATGTAGCGACGGTAAAAGTGTTCTGAAAATGCCAAGAGCAAAAGCCAATTCAAAATTACAGATTCACGCTGTGACTCTGAGGTGTTTGCAGCAGTGCCCACACAAGGTGCGTCCGTGACGTCATTGCAGCCTTGGTTCTGAGCGTAGTGTGTGCCCTCATACCACACAGCATGGCTGAACACCGTCTGAAATACCTTGGTTCAGGCTTGAGATGACTGTATGTCATGGGTTTTACCGTTTTTATTGTATATACATAAGCACGGTGGTTCAGGTATGGAAAACAAAGACCACACCTTTCTATTGTCATTCCTTAGCGGGAAAATATCAGTTCAGTGTAGCGTTTGATTGTATGGTGTTAGAAGGTTTGATATTTAAAATTGCTGTTTGACTTTCACAAAAATATCATTAAGTGAACTTTGGCCTGGGATTTGGACAAAATTCCAAACAATTTCTGAAATGATTCTAGACATATTTCTGCCATTTGTTCCTAATATTTATGCAAATCAAATCAGCAAAGACCATTACCCACAAAACCAACTCACTGTTTCAATTGTTATTTTAAACATGAATATTCAGCTAGACCAGTACTGTTTAGTGATAGGCTACTGATTTTCCATTGAAAATACTATCAACCTTGTATAAACCAAGGCTGGGTGTTTTTGGATTCTATTCATTTCCATTGATTTATTTCAATATTATCTTAATACTATAATTTCATGACAAATATTTAAATTTAGTAATGCTGTTTTTATATTACAAGAGTGTCTTTATATCCTTAGTACTTCTCATTTAAACATAAATTTTGCTTTGGCTTACTGATTTTCAAGAGAATATGTTTTGAATTTTGATCAAAATGATACTGAATACAAGGAACTTGTTGGGAGGCACAGGCATATAAATAATATAGAGTTTCATTATCTGTATGACTTTACTTCCATTTCCTCAGGGACACTTTAATTTCATTACTGTGTTGTGTTTGGTATGGAAGGCTTCTATGAGTTCTATTAAATCTATTCCTAAGTACATGATAAGTTTGATGCTATGATAAATGGTATCATTTTAATTTCATTATTTGTTTGTAGAAATAGAATTGATTTTTGTTTATTTGGCACTCTCTATGAGTAGCTTCTCTGCAGCTTATTAGAATTTTCTGATCATACAATAAATCATCTGCATGAAACAAAGCTCAGTCTGTGTTCTACTGTTGTGATTTCTAGTTCTTTTTCTCAAATTTATGTTCTACTGGAAGTTCATAATGACTGCTGCTTAGAATTAGTGAAAGAGTCTGATGCTAACTTCATTACAATCTCAAGAGACATTTTCAGGTTTGAAAAGCTCTGCCCTGCAGACTATCAATGTAGATGATGAAACTCACGGGCAACCTTTGGGCAGAGTGCAGGGAACCTTAGCAAAGAAGTGGGAAACAGTAAGATCTGGAGAGGACAGGAACTCCATAAGGAGAGCAAAAGAACCAAAAAATCTGAGCACAGGGGTCTTTCCTGAGACTGCTATTCCAACCAAGGACTATGCATGGAGATAACCTAAGACCCCTGCACAGATGTAGCCCAGGGCAGTTCAGTATCTAAGTGGGTTCCATTGTAATAGGAACAGGGACTGTCTCTGACATGAACTGATTGGCCTGCTCTTTAATCACCTCCCCCTGAAGGGGGAGCAGCCTTACCAGGCCACAGAAGAAGACAACACAGCCACTCCTGATGAGACCTAATTGACTAGGATCAGAAGGAAGGAAAAGAAGTCCTCCCCTATCAGTGGACTTGGGGAAGGGCATACCTGCAGAGGGTGGAGGAAGGGAGGGATTGGGACAGGAGGAGGGAGAGAACCACAGGGGGGTACAAAGTAAATAAAGTGTAATTAATAAAGAATAAATAAATAAATAAAAATTATTGAATGTGTTTTAAGTATACTTTTTGTTTATATTTCCTTTTTGATCAAGCATTTTCATGCATACTTAATTTGCTGTGTTAAAAAGTACGCAGAAATTGGTATATGTTTAAATAAATACTTTTCAGATTTTCTTTAATTATAACTAAAATATGGAGGTTTTCCCTGAGCCTCTGTTCTTTGGAAATCTTTCAGAATCAATTGAGTCAACTTTCTAGTCACACATCAGTACAGTACACGGGCCACTGTATATGAACTGGGGAATGTTCTATGGAGAATGAGCAACTTAATTTCAGTGTGACTCCTACTCTAGAGCATAGCTGCCATGTTCCTAATTATTTGGGCCATTCTCTGAATGGTATATATATATACATATATGTATATATGTACAAATATGTATCTCTCTCTCTCTCTCTCTCTCTCTCTCTTTCTATATATATATATATATATATATATACACATATATACCTAGCCTGTCATAATTTCCAGAAAGATTAGCTTGATGTAGGCTACAACCTCTTGTCCTATAGCAAAAGTTTTCATTATTGACTCTATTAATGTGCCTCCATCATTGAGACTTGTTATTGGTAAGATATTTGTGTTCTGATTATCATCAAGTTTGAGAACACATTCTGGTAAAATGTTTGTCATGTCTACCTAAGATATCTGATTTGCAAACCTCCAAATTGTCCCAGCCCAATGTTTGTCAAGCATTTTTTTTCTTGTCTGTTTCTTCACATCTCTTTTGCTGATGCTCCAGGCACAGTCAGCACTACTGTTTCTTGACTTGTAGCGTCCTGCACCCTAGGTGGTGGGGTTACTCTTGGAGGCCAATCCTATATTGTACTGGTTAGTAATAACTTAACTGTTTATGAGAGTAACTTCAAACTACATAAACATATCGCCTTAAGTCCAAACTAAATGTTTTTCTTCACTTAAGCCTGTCTCAGTTCACTTCCTGAATACTTGTGTCCACTCCCAAACCATCCAACACAAGAAGGATGATAGAGGGAATTTAGAGCTGGAGACAATGGTCTTAACCCATGCTTTGTTATAGCAGTATCAACTTCAGAGTGAAAATGGCTTAGAGGTTGAAAAAGAAACTATATATAATTAAATATATTGATTTATTTTTTATGTGTGTGTGCTGTTGCAGAGGCAATCATTTTAAAAATGCATAGAATCACTATTTCAGCTGATAGATAGAAAATGTCTTGGTTTCCAAAATTAACAAGACATATGGTTGTGTAAACCCATGATAAGTCTTCTCTCAGGGTTTTGGGAAGGGTCTGTGCACATGAAGAGTTTTGAAGCCAAAACTTCCTAGCTTTTTGATAAAACCAGCGGACTCAGTCTACAGCAGCTGCCAGGACTGTGAAGAGCATGTGCAGCTTTCCCCAGGTGTGAGGATTTCAGCCAGTGGTAAATATACACTAGGATGCTCATCTGTGTCTCCAAACGCAATTGAAGCAAACTCCTTAAGGCTCAAGGTGGAAAAGAGAGGGAAGAGGGAAAAGAGGAGCATCCAGATGGCGCTAGATGCCACAGCCTCAGCTCATACTCTCCTCTGGAAACCTGCCTATAGGAACCCAGTGCTAGACACCACAAGGCGCTTGACCAATTACGCAAAGGCCCAAATGTTTATGAATGAGGTATTCATCATAACGTAAAGCATTATTATAATACATGAGCATTATTGTAATACTCATGGCACTAAGTTTCTTCCAATTTGAATCTTTGTAAAAGTATTGTTTCCCTCAAATGTCTTTTTCCTGGTGAAAGTAAACATGTTGCCATTCCTTAAGACATATTTCAGTTTCTGCCCATCCCAATCTTGCCTTTCTTTCCTATTTGGTGCTGCTAGTGCTTGGGTTGTTCAGGATTATAATTCTTCTTGAGAAAAACCTTATCTTTCTGAATGATCTCTGAGTTGCTGGCAATGCATTTCAATTCTCTTTCAGCTTCAGATTTCCAACCAAATGGAACAATGCCTGTATATATAAATGAATTGCTGAATATGAGAACAATTCAGACTTGTTACCATTGTGAAGCTTTATGAGATGAGGACAGAAAAGGAGAGATTAGGTAATAAAAAGCAACTATCCGTTTTCTAATATTGAGGCTGCCGTTAGAAACAAATCTCTCCAAAAAGGTGGGCACTTCAGTTTACTATCTTGATAACAAATTATGGAGACAGTATTATAAATTTCTCTACTTTAGAATTGTCTGCATTGTGTTTTGTGAGTAATCATGGCAGTATTTAAATCATAACATCATTGGGTCCTAGCAAGAGTTATGAGCTAGCCATAGATTCAGGGAGAGAGTTCAATATAAAAATCTACCAAAACTTTTTGCTTGATTCTGTTCTGAAATCTTGCTTAATTTTGTTTCATTTTATTTTATTTTTTTTACTCTGAGCTATGGATATGTTACTTATATTAGACTTAAGTTAGGGAGACAGAACAAATACCATTTAAAAGAAAGAAAAGCAATCATTTTAATGACATAAAACATTAAAAATGCATTAATCATGTGCTCCCTTGCTTTAATTAGCACTGGCAAATAACATAGCCAACTTACCCTTTTTGCCAATAGGACCAGACTTGCCAATATTGCCCTGGGCTCCCATATCACCCAGCTCTCCTTTAACTCCTAAAAAACAAAGCATGCCATTATTTTAACACAAGGCTTTTTCTTTCCTTAAAGGATGTGACTAACATGATCTTTAATTCAAAGAAAAAGCAATATATATATATATATATATATATATGTGTGTGTGTGTGTGTGTGTATACATACATATATACATATTAGGTATTTTAGGTATATAGGTAGAATATATATTAAGTAGAATATATATCTTATATGTTGGAATTTTAGATAGAATATTAGGTAGAACATATTAGGTAGTAATATTAGAACATATTAAGTAGTAATATTCTCAGGTAGAATGTGTATATATATTAAGTAGTAATATCTATATGTTTTAGGTATCTTAGGTAGTAAATATACATACTTACATGTATTTTATATATAAATATAAAATATAATGTCAATATTATAATTATAAATAAATAAGACTTATATATTTATATAATATGTTACATATATAATCATATATTAAATCAAATACCTAAGATATCTAATTGTGATAGTGTTTTCTCAGAAGTTAGGTGGCTCTGTGGGCATATCTGTAGAGGTTGTCTTGATTATGTTCATTGAGGTAGGAAGACTCATTCATTGTAGATGGTACCATTCCCTGGGTTTGGGTCTTAGACTATAAACACATGTAGAAAAGAAAAGAGTGAGCTGGGTACACACACACACACACACACACACACACACACACACACACACATTCTTCGCTTTTTTCTGTTCCTGATTATGGATGCAATGTGATAAGATCCTTCAAGCAGCTGCTGTGGCTTCATGCTTATTATAGATGGTAACTTAGAACCATGAACAAAAACACTTTCCCCTTTAAATTGCTTTTGTCAGGGTATTTTACTATAGTATCCAGGAATGACCCCAAGACACTAATATGTATTCTATACGGCATATACTATCTTTAAACCGAATTAGAATGTACCTATTAATTAAAATGTGAGTGATTCTGACAATTCTGGGCATGTGGGTATGACAATACTTTACTGTGGCAACATTCTCAAATGCCCACAGCAGAGGGCCTGTAAAATAAAGTGTAGGTAAGCGGCAGAGTGGGGCTCTTGCGCTTTGTCTTAGACGTGTTCACCTCTACATGTGTTTCGGGTTTTGCTTTAGGATTGATTTCTCTTTCTACTTTCAAACAAAATTTGACAGTTTTAAATACTTCTGAGCAGGAAAGAGAATGTGTAGCTACAAAACCGAGTGATGAAAGAGACATCTTAAGTTGTCTTGCTTACGTTATGTTGCTTATTTTTGTCTCTAGAGGCAACATTTCACACTGTTGCCTAGACTGACCTGGAGTTCACAGTGTTTACCAGGTTATTCTCTAATACAGCAGTTCTGCCCCAAGCCTCCTGGATACTGGGATTGCAGATATGCTTCACCACAGCTCACTTTGCTGTGGAGCTTGTAATCCTAAAACTAGTCATCAGCGTTCCCTACAATATTTTAAAGTCATTGCTTTAAAGAAATGATAATAAGGGACGGGTATGGCCCCACACACCTTTAATCTAGGAGGCAGAGGCAGGCAGATCTCTATAAGAGGCTAGCCTAGTCTACATAGCAAATTTAAAACCAGTCAAGGCTCTATTATAAGACCTCTTATATAAAAAGCAAAAAAAAAAAAAAATCTTAAAATACAAAAATGATAAAAACCAAAACCAAACCAAAACAAAACCAAAACCAATACCTAACAATAAAACAGCAAAAGTGATCATATAAACACATTTACTAGTTACAAATCTTTGTCTTGTGAGACTACTTTTAGATCACTTTGCAACTGATCTAAAGAACTTTGATAATGAACTTTAGCTAGTCTTTCTCAGATAAAGGTTCTAACGGCTTTTCCACTCTTCACATTATTTAAAACTTTAAAATGAATGCTCCATGGGAACCATTTGGTAAGGGGGTGGGTCAGTTCGAGTGTTTAGAAGATACATGGTGGCCACCCAGAAAGTCTTTAATTTATTGATTTAATTGTGGTAAGGTTTGTTCTCCATGAAAACACCCAATCTTTATGTTCACGAAGACATCTAGATAGCTTTTGTGTTACTGCTGTCTGCTTTGCTTTCAATTCCTACAGGACACTCCACTGACCTGTTACAGTTTTCTCTTTTACAAGGAAAGGGGGACAAAGAGATACAGAGATTTGGAAAAGACAAATATTTCAAAGGACTAGACAGTCCTCTCTAAGTCCTTTCTACATTTCTTTTTTCCAACATCATATTTTTATTGATTATTTGGGAGCTTTCCATCATGCACTCCTATCAAAGTCCATTCTCAGCCCTCTCATGGCTGCACCCCACCCTAGTGACCCCCAAACAGAAAGAAAGAAAGAAAGAAAGAAAAAAGAAAGAGAGAGAGAGAGAAAGAAAGAAAGAAAGAAAGAAAGAAAGAAAGAAAGAAAGAAAGAAAGAAAGAATCCAAGTCCAACTTGTGTTATGCATATACTTGGTGCAGCAAGGTCAAACTCTGGTGGCCAGCCCCTTAAAGAAAATTGAGTCCTTCTCCAGCTGCACCCACAGAAGCCATCAAGTGTGATATCTGTGCTTTCTGAAACTCACCATCTCATATTTTCTCATTGACTACTACTCTCTGAGTCACAGAGTGTGAATTGCTCTGACCAGTCTTTTTTTTTTCTTTTTTTATTTTATCTTTTTTGAATTTTATTTTTTTCTTATCAGTTACATTTTATTAACTCTGTATCCCAGCCGTGTCCCGATCCCTCATTCCCTCCCAGTCCCTCCCTCCCTCATCTCCACTGTGCCCCTTTCCAAGTCCACTGATAGGGGGGACCTCCTCCCCATTCATCTGATCCTGTTTTATCAGGTATCTTCAGGGCTGGCTGCAAAGCCCTCCTCTGTGGCCTAACAGGACTGCTCCTCCCTTGGGGGGTGGGGAGGCCAAAGAGCCAGTCATTGAGTTCCTGTTAGAAATAGTCCTTGTTCCCCTCACTATGGGAAACCAATTGGTTACTGAGCTACCACAGGCTACATCTGAGCAGAGGTTCTAGGTTATATCCATACATGGTCCTTGGTTGCATGTCAGTCTCAGAAAAGACCCTGTGCCCAGATATATTTGGTCCTTGTGGAGCTCCTATCCTTTCCCCATCAGACTAACTCCCCTTCTTTCTTATGATTCCCTGTACTCTGCCAAAGGTTTGGTCATGAGTCTTTGCTTTGAAAACACTGCTAGTTAGAGTCTTTCAAATGCGCTCAGTAGACTCCTGTCATACGTTCAATGCACATCCCATCTGTCTTTCTAAATGAGGATTGATCATCTTACCCCATGTCTGCTCTCTTGATTAACTCTTTAAGGTGTACAGATTTCATTATGTTTATCATATCTTAGGTCTATATAAGTGAGTATATACCGTGTTTGTCTTTCTCCTTCTGGGATATTTCACTCAGGATGATCTTTTCTAGATCCCACCATTTGCCTGCAAATTTCATGATTTCCTCCTTTTTGATTGCTGAGTAGTATTCCATTGTGTAAAAATACCACAATTTCTGTACCCATTCCTCCATTGATGGACATCTGGGTTGTTTCCAGGTTCTGGCTATTACAAATAAAGCTGCTATAAACATGGTTGAGCAAATATCCCTTTTGTGTACTTGAGCAAAGTTTGGGTATATACCTAGCAGTGGTATAGCTGGGTCTTGAGGAAGCACTATTCCTAATTGTCTTAGAAAGCGCCAGACAGATTTCCAGAGTGGTTGTATCAGTTTACATTCCCACCAGCAGTGGAGGAGGGTTCCCCTTTCTCCACAACCTCTCCAGCATGTGTTCTCCCTTGAGTTTTTCATCTTGGTCATTCTGATGGGTGTAAGGTGATATCTCAGGGTCGTTTTGATTTGCATTTCCCTGATGGCTAATGAGGATGAGCATTTCTTTAAGTGTTTCTCTGCCATTCGATATTCCTCTGGCTCTGACTAGTCTTAATGATACAGCTTGAGAAATAGAGTCTAGTCATCAGGCAAGCCCATAGGAGCCCTTGCCTGGTGAGTAAATTCACATCTGAAACATACTATATGTATCTCTGTTGCAGAAAGCATTGTGAAACTGCTAATTTCCAAGACAAGGGCCAGGAGAGAGACAGAGACAGCGACAGAGAGACAGTGACAGGGACATATATATAGAGAGAGACACAGAAAACATTTGCACATTAAAGTAGGTTAGCCTACCTTTTGGTCCTCTGCGTCCCACTTTGCCATCCTTGCCTTCTTCTCCAGTGTCTCCTTTTTCACCATCATCTCCTTTTAAAACAAAGCAAGAGAGAGTAGATCATGTCAAATAAGGACCAAGCTCATTCTTCTTAGGGGAAGGAGACTATGCTCAAAATGCTATTGCAATTTGGATATGACAAAGTACCCAGTCCACAGGGCAGCTGAAATGAAAGAACTTCCATTGCAGTCTCACAGAAGCTGAGGTTACCTGAACTGGGCCCACACAAGACTGACTGTCAACAATATGTCATGGATGGGAGAGGGGGATCATGTATCCATGCCACATATGGGTGAACTGTTGGCTATTGGTACATGCTGGAAATCAGGAAGGGGTTATTGTCTTCCCCTTTGAACCCACTACAGAGCACACAAGACTCCAATAGATAGCTCCAAGCTCATGGTCATACAGAAGGCATTGGTCAAACTCAGTGGGTCACAGAACACAAGAAATAGACAAGAACGTGAAAAATAGATTTGTGAGGATGGGGAGAGGAAGATAGAAGTGGGGAGGGTTCAATAGATGTTAGAGCATTGGAGTCACCATCATTTAATCTGTCTATCTATGAAAATGTCAAATAACTAATTACTAAGTTAATAAAAAAGAAAAAGTTGCAATATATTTTCTGCTTTCACTTTTCCCCTATAAATAGTAGATGGATCCCACAACTAGAGGCATGGACTGTGGGACTAAGAATGGGAGACTAGGAGTAGCAACAGCTGAAAAGCTGTCAGCTCTTTGAACAATTCAACCTGATTGAATTAATGACATATTGAAAAGTGTCAGACTATGAATTAGAAGGCACAGATTATTATATGATTTTCTGATAAGTTTCTGATAGATCTTACTGATTTTGGAGGAAGACAGGCCCAGACTCGAATCCCAGCTCCAACATTACCTATCTGGAGAAACCTCAACAAATGACCTTCTTTTCTGAGCCCCACTTTTCTTTCCTAAAAATTAAAATGATAATACCTATTTGAGTGGGCTCCCAAGAAGTTTCCATGGATTAATAATCACAGAAGAACAGGGCACTAGTGTGTAACAATGGTGGCTACTGTTAGTCTCTCTTATGTTCTGTGTTTCTGTATCATTACTGTGGGATATTACCTGCCCTCCCTGACTTGCCCAGTTGTTTTTAGAATCAACAAGGGAAGAATGTGAATGTGCTTTGGAAATAAAGAGCATAACACATACCATGTTGTGACTAGATACCCACATTATCACCACGACAATCTTGGGGCAGTGAACTCATGAGGAATGATGGGAAAATTAGATTTGAGGCTGTGAGATTATCCAAGCATTTGGTTATTTTACAAGACAGTCCACAGAATCCTTCTGAAACTGGCTTTTACAAAATAGGCTTACACTTAATTTCTTTAACCTAATATGCTTACACCTATTTCTGTCATCAGACTAGAGGAATTAAGTTTGAACTTCGGTGGTGTTTTCCAGTACCATGGATGTTTGCTTATCAAGGTTAATATGTGCTGTGCACTTGAGCTAAGGATTTTGACATGGAATTGTGGTAATTCCAGGAGGTGGAAACTATCTCATTCTATTTCTTAAGTAAAAACAAACAAAAAGAAACAAACATACAAAAAACCCACCAAGATACTGTGTGATTAAGGTACTTATGAATTGTCATAGAACTTCTGCGTATCCCAATGAAAAGTCTTCCATGTGTGTGTGTGGTTTTTAATGTAGGCTCACTGACTCCTAGCAGATGGTAGAATTTAGGAAACTTGGCATTTTGTCAACGTTTTCAGAGAGAAAATGGAAGTTACCAGGAAAAAAAATTGACAATTTCTATTACCTTCTAAACAAGAAAGATAGTAGGGACCATGCTAGTTTCCAATGACTTAATGCATGCAGAATGTACCCTTGAGGTAGATTCATTAAGACCTGGGCTTGCTGCTCAGTAGCTGCAGGATTCTACATCTAGGGAGCCTCTTTATCTCTCTGAGTATTGTTTTACTCAGTGGTATAATGAAAAAAATATTTTTTTTTATTTGTGTGTGTGTGTTCCAGAAGTTTTTCCATTCTTCCATCTCTTCCTTTCTTTCTTCCCTCATTTTTTCATCCAAAGTGACATTACGTGGAAAACGATTATTTTTTTTTCCTGCTATTACTAGATTGAGCTAAATTCTTCTGGATTACCTTTGTTGTTAAAAGTACCTTTTTATATTCAATGTGTCAGCTCATTTCTGCTTAGAACATACCTTCAGTTGCCTGTTTGCTGAGGGATAGGCTGCCATCCTAAACAGTTTTTGCTTACACATACAGAATTTAGCATGGCCTGATGCTTGAAATGTGATGTAATTGGATGTTCCTTGTATGGACCATAAGCCACTTTACAAGTGTTATTATAGTGCTATTGACTATTAAGAGCCAAATTGTCCGTGCTACCTGACATGCACTCTGTCATATGATCCCCATGACAACCTTTCAGAAGAACACTATTCTCAGCTCCATTTTGTAGATGAGGGAACGAGGTCAAGCAGAGATGACGCAACATCTACATGGTCACAACATGTGTAATGGCAAAACTGGGATTCAAATTTTGAGGGTCTTTCTTCAAAGCCCAAATTCTGCACACAAGGAGTGATTTTGAACAAAATCTTATTCTCCCGTTCCTGGGACTTGGATCGCTGATCCACGTAATGGGACTAAAGAGACACTGTTCAGTAGAGGGAAACATCGTAAAGCCACATGGGTGTGAATGTTGGTACCATTATTATTTCTCTTTCTTAATCCCCACCCTGTGATCATGCCCATTCATTTCCAAGCAAGCATCTCACTGGAGGAGGCAAGGTGAGTGATTTAGTCATCTGCTGCTCCCTGGTGGCTCCTGAGGAAAGGTCCTGGAGGAAAGAAAACAGCTTATGGTTTTGGTGACTTATATGACCACCGGCTTATCCTGGTTATTTAATCTTTGAGCATTAATTTAATGAAAAGAGAAGGGAGACATAAATCCAAGCACTAGAAAGGACACCACTTTTCACTGTTTTTTAGTCTTTTTGGAAACATTTCATGGGATTTCTTCACTTAAAAAAGTTGCCACTTACACACTTCTATGATTTTTTTAAAAAAGAGGAAAAACTAAGCTACAATTGACTAATTTCAAGTTTCTAAAAATTATTGCTTGGACCCATCCAGGCCATTAGCATTCTATAGTAATCTCTCCAAAAGAATTCCACCAAAGCATGCAGTGGCCCACATTTTCTTAGGTACGGTTTATTTGAAATTAAATAGCTGAACTCAAGTCTGAATAATGAATTCAAATGGAGTAAATATGTAAAAACATTATTACATTCATTTTGGAAATGCTGAATAAAATCACTGGAAATTGTGTCATTTCTGTTGTTAAAGTAATCTCGGAGACAGGAGAAAAGTTATCAGCAGTCTTTCTCCTGATAAACACACTCCTCACCTCTCCCTTCATTTTGTTTTCAAATTTACCAATTCCATCTTCTGTTTTGGGGTTTTCAGTAGAAGGACTGACTTCTTATTCCTGAGATGGCTCCAGTGTCCCTGGCAATAAAGACGTTATAATAGGCTTGCACTTCCCCTTTTCCTGGAATGTTGTCGAAATATGTGGGCCTTCTTGGGACCAATGATTATTTGTTTTGCTATGTTCATCTATTTACCATTCCTTCCGTGCCTTCATTTGCCTCCTTAACCACCTCAAATTCTTTCAACTCAATCCCTTCTACACAGTTCTCCCTAAGGCAGAGGTACCCCATTGAGTTGTTGAAAATTCTCACCTCACCTCTCTGAGCCTTAGTTTTCTTATCTGTGAAATGGGAAAAATCCCAACTAACCCATAAGACAATTTCAAACAAAAGGTACCTCAACCAATGGCTGAAGAGTATTTAGCTACTCATTTGGTGCACTCCACAGTTTATGTTTTAATGAAGAGTTAAAAGTGATTATCCCTATGTCTTCACTACCTCAACCTCTACCCTGTAGCTTTTATTACATTCTTATTTGAGTAGATGTTCTTTTACTTTTTCACTATGAAAAATTTCTATGCTAAAAGATGAAAAAACAGATATACCAGTATTAAGTTATGACTACTAGTTTGATATTACTTCTTTAACTAATTTTTTGCTGATTAAAAAAAAAATCCAATGACAGACATGACAACATCATCCTTATACATGTCAACAAATGTCTAAAGAATAGAAATAATAAGCCGGGCACAATGGTGCACGCCTGTAATCCCAGCAATCTGGGAGGCAGAGGCATTTGGATCTCTGTGAGTTTGAGGCCAGTCTGGTCTACAAAGTGAGTCCAGGACAGCCAAGGCAATACAGAGAAACTCTGTCTTGAAAAACCAAAGAGAGAGAGAGAGAGAGAGAGAGAGAGAGAGAGAGAGAGAGAAATAGCCCCCTATGTAAGCACATTGCTATTACAATATTGCTTTTTATTCAAGTACTAGATAAGATCAGCTTTATAGAATTCTGTGGTTTCATTTATCCTGAGCCTATATCCTGAGCTATAACAGCCTAATCTAGGAAGAAGAACAAATGAACGGTTAGAAAGAGAGGCCAAAACTCACAGAAGTAAACCTGAGTTCTTTGAAAGCAAATCCTGAACAATAACCCCAATTTCTTTTCTGTTGAAAGAACTATTAACAGACTAAAAACGGCTTCAGGGAGACAAATTCCTTCTGGTCACTTTTAGAAAGTAGTCCTTAGAAGGTTGGGTATAAACTAATGAAGTCCATAGGATCTAATTTTACACACGACAAGTTCAAGTTCCCATCAGATTATGTTCCAGCTGCTATAGTTTGGATGAAGTGTGGTCTCCTGCAGTCCATGTCTTAATGACACCTTTAGCAGGCAGGACCTAATACGAAGTTTTCTGGTTACTGGGGATAGTGCCTTGCATGAGATCTAGAGCTTTAGCCATCCCCTCTTCTTTTGCTTCCTGTCCAGAAACTGAGCAGTTTGTTCTTCCACAGACTCTGCCATTGTTGTGTTTTTCACTGCTCATAGCCTGTAAGTAATGGATTTTATCTAAAGCT